TCTCAGCCACCTGGGGGCTGCTTTCAGGCCCTCAGCTTTCCAGCTGCAGCCTCTGACCCATCAGAGGGCCTGGTGACTGCTGGAGTCCACCATTGTTGATGGAACAAAGGACATCTTCATGTGAGCTTTGAACACTACAATGAAGGTTGTAGGCTCTCCTAGACGCAATGGAAGCCCCTGGGTACCCGACATTGGGCATTTTTAAAAGCCGCTGAATCACATATAGAAAGATGAAATTGAATTTTATCTCACAACAGACAAAAGTCAGCTGCAAAAAGATTAGACTTAAACAATAGACCAGAAGTCATCAAGTTGCAGAAGAAAGTGGAGAAGCCTCCTTGACAGTGACCTGGGCAATGACTTTCTTGGATATGATACCCAAAACAAGGATAGCAGAATCAAAAATAGACAAATAGGTTGCATTAAATAAAAACGCTTCTGCACAGCAAAGGAAATGACCAACATTCTGTAGGTGTGAAAAGGCACCTACAGAATAGGAAATATATTTGTAAACCATGTATCTGTAAAGAGTTAATATCTATAAGGAACTCATACAACCCAGTAGCAAAAGATGATTTTTTAAATCCAATTTTAAAAGGATAAAATACATTAATATTTATATATAAAATAAGATATATACATGGCCCCCAGGTACATGAAATGATGATCACTGTCAGTAGTCATCAGGAAATTGGAATCAAGCCCAAAATGAGATAGCACTTTACTAGGACTGACTTATCAAAAAGACATGTTGGGAATGGGGTATCAAAAAAGTCATACGAGACAGTAAGGGTTGGAGAGAATGTGGGAAGAAGGTAATTATGTGTGCTGTTGGGGGAGGCAGGAGGGATGGAAACTGTGGAAACTGGTTACACTTCGTAAAATGTTTTAAATAAAACTATTGTATGATGGAGCAATTCAACACCTGGAGATACAGCCAAAGGAAATGAAGTTGGGCTCTCAAACATCTGCACCCCCATGTTTATAGCAGTCTTATTCATAACAGCCAAGAGATAGAGTGTCAGTCAAAGGATGAAAGGATGTAGAAGCATTGAGATGCATATATCCCTGTATATACATCCACATCTACATATATCTACATCTATATAGGTATATAGATAAAGGTATTGGTATAGATCTAATTCAGCCTTTAAAAAGAAGGAAATCTTGACATTTGCACAAACATGGATGAACATGGAGGATAGTATACTAAGTAAAATAATCAGACAGATAAATATTGCATCATTTCCTTTGTGTGTGGAATCTACAGAAGCAGAGAAGAATGGCAGTTGCAGACCCTGGAGAATGGGAGAAATCGGGAGGTGCTAGTCAAAAGGACAAAGTTTCAGAGATGCAGGATGAGTTAAATTCAGGAGACCTCAGGCCGGCAGCAGTAATTAACACTGCTGCATTATAGTCTTGAAATGTGCCCAAATCCTTCCTCTAACCACACTCACAACGGTAACTACGGAAGAGGATGGAGATGGTGATCAGCTTGATTGTGGTGGTTAGCTCACTATGTATACACCTACCAAAATGTCAAGCTATACATCGCTATGTTGTATGTCTTCGTCAGTTACCAGCAATAAAATTTGGGCTCGGATTGGGGGTTGAAGAACTCAACTGCCTTTCCAGACTATGGAAAGGTTGCCCTTAGGGGCGAGTTCAGCGAGGAGAGTTCTCTAGTGGGGTCTTCGGGAGTGCCGCAGCGTGAATCAAGCCTGAGTCTGTCCGGTGTTCAAGACCGGGCTCCCCCACCCCCGTTTTCCAGTGTAACTTTGAGTGCCGCCTTTTGTCCTCCGGAAATGAGGGGTCGAGGGCCACCGTAGATGTGGGGGCGCGGCGCCCATCGCCCACTCCGGGCGCCCCAGATACCGGTGTCCGTGAAGTCCCGCCCCTCCCCCGGCCCGCCC